CCACAAAAAGTGGACAAGCACTTTTTCTTCACTGTAGGCCTTGGTACAAATCCTTGTCAGAACAATCAAACATGTCAGGGACCCAATGGAACAATGTTTGCAGCTTCAGTCAATAATGTATCTTTCACTCTCCCAACCACCGCTCTTCTTCAAGCCCACTACCTTGGGCAATCCAACGAAGTTTCCTCCCCTGACTTTCCAAGTAGCCCCTTGATTCCATTCAACTACACAGGCACCCCACCAAACAACAGCATGGTGAGCAATGGGACAAAGTTGGTTGTTCTTCCTTTCAACACTAGCGTGGAGCTTATCATGCAGGACACAAGTATACTAGGTGCTGAAAGCCATCCTCTCCACTTGCATGGCTTTAACTTCTTCGTTGTTGGCCAAGGTTTTGGCAACTTCGATCCAAATAAGGACCCTGCAAATTTCAATCTTGTTGATCCTGTTGAGAGGAACACAGTGGGCGTCCCCTCTGGTGGATGGGTTGCCATTCGTTTCCTAGCAGATAACCCAGGTTAGCAAGATTTGTGTTTCCTAATACTTCATAACAAAGCAAGCTAATTTTTTCTATAACCACAATAGTAAATTCAGATTTCAGTTTCGATTAGACAAGTAATTAAACACAAGTTAATGTTTAAATGTTCCACTAGTTCTGACAAATGAACAAACAGCCAGTGTACAAGTCTTGTCTTAGACACCTGATTGGTGCTAATGAAGAACGATTTTGTGCAGGGGTATGGTTCATGCATTGTCACCTGGAAGTTCACACAAGCTGGGGTCTGAAAATGGCGTGGCTTGTTTTGGACGGAAAGCTTCCCAATCAAAAACTGCTTCCACCACCATCGGATCTTCCCAAGTGTTAAACTCTCGCTTGAAATTGCGACCCTTCCTTTCTTTGAACCGGCTTTTGTTGCCTCTTATGGCATTCTTTTGGCGAGTGATTGATTGCATCTTGGTTTTTTTTTTTTTTTTAAGTGTTTGGTCGAAAGAAGAGGCATTGATCGTTTGATGCCTCTATATTTAACTACCAAAAGTGTTGATTTCTGCGAAATTGTAACATTCTTCCATTTTAATTAATGAGTATTCTTTCTTCTTGACATCATAAAATTTGACATTCACACAATTGAAGAATCACATGATACTATTGTGTTTTATATATAACTAAATCTTTGGACATGTCATTATTCAAAAAATCTCATTCAATAACTTTATTGAATACTACCTCCGGTCTTTAATATAAAACCTCGTTTAACTTTTATTTTGGTTCTAAATATAAGATCCCAATCCACTTTATCTCTTATATTTATATATTTTTTTTAATGTAGTCTTTCTAGTAATGATAGTTCTAACCAATACACTTGATTAGCAAGGATATTTTAAGAAAGACAACATCTATTTATGACCAATAACTAACTTAACTTATTTTCTTAATCTCCTCAAATTTGTCAACTAATTCTTATAAATAGAATCGAAAGTAGTATTATGGAGTGGCTGGAATTAATATGAAATTATTAGCCCGCACTCATTCTTTATTTTCCTCCTAGTTAATTCTATTAGGCCAATTCAAACAATCTGTTCAACTTCAACGTCTCTTAGTTTTTTTTTTTGAGTTACAAGGGAGCGGGATCGAACCCGCGTCACACACACCCACGCACACCCCCATACTACTGGGCCAACAGGTGATTTGAAAAATACAATAAATTATTCCTCTGCACCTCATATTGGTTTCATAATTCTAGAAATTTGTTTTACAAGTGATATGGGACGCAACAGAGCCATTTTACAAATAATTTATCACGTACTTTTTCTTATTGAGCATTTTCTTTGTTCTTGCTCTTTATCCATCGTTTTTTATAGAGTTCTATATTGTCCGATATATCTTTCCTATCAGTGCCTTTAAAAGTGTTTTTTTTTTTGGGACTAGAGACTGAAGGGAAAATCACCTAACGCGGGTGGTACTTAAACAGCCCGAATATCCTATTTATACACACTAACACACTCACACACCCATGGGGCTGGAGACGCTTTTAAAAGTTAATTAATGCACAATAAAGATAGTAAGTTGAGCACTACTGTCTCATTTTACACTCTGAGTAAAAATGTAAAATACATTTAACGCAATTGAATCAATAAATTTCCCAGTGAAGGTATCTAATTTACAGTGAGACATGACATCTCATTGTGTACTTGGGAAGAGGTAATTCAAATGGGTTTCGCATCTTTTGAGATGACAGAAACATTCCTTTCATGTCTTTTTACTATGACACCCACAACATCTCTCATCAGATTGGACATTTGCATGCAAAGCCTGGCGATAAGTTAATATTACCTCCAATTTTAATTATAAAATCTTATTTATAAATAATACTAAATTTATATTAATAAAAAATTATATGATGTCTTGGCATTAATAATTATATTGTTTTTAGAAACTCAGTTATATTTTTTGCTGAACAGTAGCTTGCTTTGCTTTATCTAGTTATATTAGCTTTTAATTATTCTTTGCCTATAAATGCAAGCTAATAACATGAGATAATAACACGCATAATTAAACTCGTAACCTTAAAAAAAAACGGAAAAAAAAAGCTTTCATATTACAAACGTATTGGTTTAAGACACATATGTACAATGCATGAGACAGCATTTTGGGGATTTGGATTCTGTCCACTTCTCCTCCCATCCTCTTCCCCTCCACTACTTTTTTTTGGCCCTTTACAACCATTAGATCAAAACTTTAATGATCCAGATTTAATATTTTACAACATTTTATAAAAATAAATATAATTATAAAAATAGATAAATAAATTTAAACTGTTAAAATCTAATTTGAACAGCTCATATCTACAGACTGTTATTACAGAGCAAATTTTTTTCAACTTCTTTTATTACAGTTGTTAACTATTTATATCAGATTTTAACAGTTTAAATTTATTTACTTATTTTTAATAATATTATTTTATAAGATGTTAAATCTGGACCATTGAAATTTTGATCCAATAATTGTGAAGGGAAAAAAAGGGTAGTGGAGAGGGAGAGGATGGGAGAAAAAGCAGAGAGAATCCAAATCCGCATTTTAGACTTAAAAAAAAAATGGCAATCAGTTCTCAAAAAGTGTGCTCGAGGGGCTATTTATTTAAGCTAAACATGCTTATGACAAAGTTAGGTCTGCTCATATAATCATATATTTCTATTCCCATAAGCAGAAAATAAAGATGGAACAGAGCTGAATATATTACTAATAACATATCTTTTTTAAATTTTGAATATTACATTTTTTTTGCCAGCAGAATATTACATTTATATTTTATAAATATAAGAAATTAAAATTAATTGAAAACAGCCAACTCAACTAATGAAGCACACTACGTGATGAACTAATGTTCAAATTCCTGTTTGGAGAGTTGTTTGTGGACAAGTGATTGAAGTCTTCAAAAGCAGTTTTTTAATAGTAATTTACAAAATATAAAATACGCATGTGAGAACAGTTTTATCTTAACTTATGTAGAAATAATCCCAAAGAAATCTAAGAGTGTCTGGACTAAAATTACCTCCGAAAAGATATCTATGCCTAACACAAAATTTTTTTTAAAAAAAGTATTAGTCGAACCCAGAGCGGGCTAGAGTTCATAATGCTTAAACAGGATTATGACGGGCGTGATGGATGCTTGTGGACCTAAAAGGAAAAGTTAATGCTCCCCTCAGGCCTTGGAATCTGAAACTTTAAAAAATTTTCCCCATTAATTAAACTTAGTTTCATTTATCAAGAAGATAATGACAATCGATACTCTTTAAAATAACCAAAAATGGAAGATAATACATTTATTCAAAGAAATTATTAAGTTATTCTATTAAGTGAAAATAGCTTTTTTATCTATTCAATTGTAAAATTAAGGAGTGAAAAGTGAATTCCAAATATTATGAATTAATATACTTTTAGGTGATGTAACTTGTTATAATTAAGTTGTGAGGAAGTAGCAATTAGCCACACTTTATTGGGATTTAAGGTCCCTTAGCAACTTGACACTTCTTTATTATGTTTTTAAAAGTAATGGCAATTGATACTTTTTGACAAAAAAAATTAAATCTCTTGGAAAAATATAAATCATTTTGTTTTTAGGTTTTACACTTTATAATTTATATATTTAAAATTTTTTAAAGCTATTCCTTCCATCACATGATAGTTCGAACATCAAATTCTTTCTTTAGTCTAAGATTATAAAATGTTTTTCATTGGTTAGTTGATAAATGACACAAAACAAAAATACAGTTAGTGGTTACCTAATTTTATAAAGTTTTCTTAGGGCATCACTTCCAGGGCTACCTCAATTGATTTTAAGGGGGTGTTAGGGTATAAAAAAAAAGTACTTTTTAAAAATATTTTTTGTAAATTGAGATAAACTCCTCCTCATATTTATTTTATATATCGTAAAATCACTTTTAAAATTATGATTTTGATTCTATCCAAATACTTTCTATCTAAATCAGACAAATTCATTCATAGATCCATGCCTTCTGACAATGTATCATTATACATATAAAATAAACACATTCAACAAATCAGACTATTGTGGTGCAATTTATCATTCAACTTTTTAAATATTAGCACAAGAAACATTCTTACAAAATTAGTTATATAAATTTAGTCTTTAAGTAATTATCAATGTATAAAGTAAAAGTATACCAGGAAAAAAAAACCATTCACAGAGTACATCCAGTGCAGAGTGCAGCATATTTTTTCAAACTCCGTATGATATATGAGAAATTCAAGTCTAATTAAATTTTTAATATATGTATATGAGAATAAAAATCAGTAAATCAATACTTCATTTAAGGATATAGTTTTAATAGTAATAATAATAAATAAAAAGAGAAGAGGGTTCAAGGTTCAAGCAAAGTGCAATGGTCTCAATGTCTGACACTGTCTCTGGAGAGATGCCTTTATAAAACTAAATCTGCTCTTCTCACGCCATTATTCTCTCACTTCCCCTGCTTCTTCCCCTGTTCTGTTTCTGTACTCATTTTCTCACTCCTTTCCCTTTTCGTCTTTTCTCTCTTCTGTACCATCTCTTCTCTTCTCTGTGACAAGTCACTTCATTTCTATACCCTTCACCTTCACATCCATTTCTTGCTTTCTTCCATCAAACACACTATTCATATGCCTCAACAGGTACCAGTTTTCTTTCTTTCTTTCTTCTGGGTTGCTGTGAAAATAATATGCAGAATCAGTTGGGTTGGTGTTGAAGAAAAGCTTTATGTGATTGTATCACTTTATTGATTATAGTTCTTGTGTGGATTAATGTGATTGTGAAGCAGCAACAAGGGTGGCCATTGGGGCTGAGGTTATTGAATCCAAATATAGGGTTAGTGAGGAGTCATGATAATGCAGATTTCTCAGGCTCTGCCTCCTTCACCACTCTCCTCACTCCTTCTCTTTCCTCTGCTTCCAGGGATTCTTCTTCAGATCTTGATACCCAGGTTCCTCATTTTCTCTTTGTCTTTATTAATCATTTCTTCTTTCCTTCTTATTTTAATCCTTTTCCCTTTTTGACCACAAAGATGACGATGCCTCCATTTTAATCTTCTGTCTGTCTTTCCTGCATGGTAAATATTATTTATAAAGACATCATAGAAACAGAGCACCTCAGCTTTGGCCTTTATTTTTGGATGTTTTAAAGATAATGACTCTGTTTCTGACTAATTGAAACAAGGTTTCATCAAAATTTTATGACATTTATTTGAAAGTTTAGTGGAACAAAACATCCTGAAGAAGTTCATTCGAAATATGACTTCTCAATGTCAATGTCAATTATCATGAAGAGACCACATGTCCCTAACAAGAAGACAGAATCTGGGTCCATGTCTCTTTCTCCCTCTGTTTCGTATATTGTCCAGCATGCAGTCTCAAACAAAATCTTAATATGTATTTTTTTTTCTTTTTATAAATAGTAAATCCATACATCTCATAAAAAATAAAAGGAAAAATTGGAAAAATCTGCCATTAAAAACTTTATTGGTAAGATGAAAATTTTGTCCACAAGGAGTACTGGAACTCTAATTTTTTTATTTAGTGTAATTAGTACTAATTTAGGTCCTTCTTATAAAACAAATTCATCAGAGACTTTTTCCTAATTTTCTTAAAATAAAAATACATCTAGATCGACTTTTGGCATTGTGTAGTTAATTAATTCGGTTCGGGCTTAAGATTGGGCCTAAGTAGATTGGTTCGGTTGGGCCACTTTCTTCAATGTACGTATGTACATAATATAAAATTTTTATAGAAAATCAGATCATCATCCACAGATAAAACAAAACTAGTATAGCAAAGAATAGGCTAATCTCTTACAACGTGACGAACTAAGGTTCGAATAACTGCTGGAAGAAATGTCCACATTTAGTACTCGATAATGCTTTGAATAAAATTATCTCCAATAAGAAGATACCTATGCTTTAAGAAAAAAAACATAGCACATTCTAACTTTTATACAAAGCACATGTCACTATTTAGTTTATATAAAACTGATAGAATGTGGTCATGTTGTCCCGTTTTCCCTTTATAAGTTTTTATTTTTGTAAAATTGTCACATATTATATATGTGTGTGTGTTTGCACAAAATCCGTCAGCATTGCATAGGTATATAATGTAATTGTTTTGGTTTGCTTAAATCAAACATGTAATGATGAGGGGGGAACCGAGGCGCTCCATACTAATACTATGTCCACTCATTTTGTCGTCTAATTAACTATTTTAATTTATCCCAAGGTTGACTAGACCAAATTGAAGCATAGAGCATGTAGGAGCTGGCAATTAGGCATCACGCACTTTTGGGAGGACAAGGCAAAAATAATAATTCTCTCCTTAATTCTAAATATAAAATTTAAATAACTACTTTATGAAGATTATTGAAATTAATTAAGATGATTATTTGTAAAAAAATTGTGTTGAGATTTCTAAAATGCCTATTTAACCATTTGTGGTGGATGTTGATGGAAATCTGGCTTCTTTTAACATATGCAATAATAATAGTTTAGGAAGAGAATTATTTAAAAGAAAAATTAAATTAAGATCCTATTTTTAAGATTAGAAGGAATAATTAGAAGATAATTTATCGTCCAAAACAAATACTCCTCTGGTTCTTAATATAAGACCCATTTAACTAATTGGATTATATTAATGAAGTTAGGTAAGTTAGTTCATTATAAGAAATGCGACATGTTTTTCCTAAAATACCATAATTATGTTTCTTAATACCCTCTCTTTCTCTTCTACTTGATTATGATTGAGGGAATATCTATAGGGGTAATTTAGAGAAAATTGATAAATATGAGAAATAGGTCTTATATTTAGAACCAAAACCAACTTAACAATTAGATTCTATATTAGGGACATGAGGAGTATTAATTAGAAGAAGAATTGAGATATTGTTCACATGTAAAAGATTTTCTTTTTATAGTTTTACCATATAATAGGTTTGAACTGGTCTAAGATTTATGAGATTACAGTACTAGACTAATGATAGGTGGGTCGGACCATGACTTTTGACTAAGCACTTTTGTGACTTTTCCATTAATTTGGGTGAGGAAGAAGAATCATCTTCTACTTTGGAAAGAGTCCAAATGAGAAGTAAATAAGAAAGGGAAAGAACGAAATGAAGAAGCCCCATCAAATAGTAAAGCCTCCATCTTTCTTTTGGCTCTTTCAGTTTCTTTTGTTCCCTTTATGGTCATTACCTGCCTTTCATGGGGTCCACCCCATGTCCTGCTGCTACCCCTTTCCAAACTTAGCTTTAACTTTTGGATTCTTAGTTTTAGAATTTAGAAATTATGTTTAATTAGATTGTAATAGGTGCTTCCGGTCCTTAATCTAAGAGTTAGTTGACTAATTTGAGTAGATTAAAAAAATTAGTTAAGTTAGTTATTTGTAACAAATAGGTACTGTCTTTCCTAAAATATCCTTACTAATCAGGTATATTGGCTAGAATTATCATTATTACAAAGACTATTTTGGGAAAAAAATAAATATGAGACACAATGGATTGGGGTTTTATATGTAGGATCAAAATAAAAGTCAAATAAGCTTCTATATTAAAGATCGAAGGTAGTATTATTTAATTAATGTGTCTAAAATATATTCTCATGACATAACACAAATTAATTAACCCTATATTTCACCCCCAAAAAAAATAATTAACCCTATAACACCTACTATTATTTGATGAGGCTGTTGATTAGTATAATGGACTTTGATTGTTACCATGAGGTTAGGATGGAATAGAATTGTTCACCTAGACAAGTGATGAAATAACGAAATTAATTAAAGGGTTTTTAACATTTTTCCATTTAGGGTCATTTTGGTAATTTTCGTGCCGTTCTTTTATTCCTGTCACTCTATTAAAATATTCTATTAGAAATATCTTTTCTTGGTGGTTATACCAAACATGATTTGCATTCTGTTGTACTTGTACTTTTTATGATTCTCTTAAAAATCTTTGTCCAACCAAACATAATCTGAATTATGAATGATTGGGTTAACGACGCCAAAAAATACTATGATAAAATTATCCTCCATTGAGATGATTTTTTGCCTTGATTTCTCGTGACAGTCCACTGGATCATTCTTCCATGGCAAGAGCAGTAATAACACACTTGGGAGCCTCATTGGTATTTCAAGCATCTTTGAACTCTCAAGAAGATCCACAAGGGGAAGAATGGTGGAACCCTTGAGGGACAACAACAAGAAGAGCCACAAGCTGAAGCCATGGTTGTTCTCACTCTGTTCGAGGCTAACCACCGATGCCGTCGCCATGAACGGCGACAATGTTCCCTCTCTTGGTCACTACCTTCAACAAGAGAGGAGGGCTGCAAATGCGGGCACTTGGAGAAACAGAACATTCTCTTACCCTTATGGGGTTAATGACTTCTCTCCAGTTAGAGACTCAAACTCGTTGTTTCTTGGGGATCAAGTTGCTGCTCCTGAGTGTGCTGCAATGGAGGGAGAAGAGGGTGGGAGAGAGCCAGACAGAGCATTACTGGGACAAAGTAATGGATATGGAGGACTGGTAGTTTTCCCTTGTTTGTGTGGATGAGTCCAATTAAGTGATAGCTTTTTTTCTTATTGGTGGCTCGTTGATTTCAAGTTTCTTTCATTCCCACTTCCCAGGTCTGGAGTTTTTCAGTTGTTTTGGAAGAATCTCTTGTATCTTTTGGCATCTTCTGTTTACTAGTCACATAATTACGTGAACTAGTGTCCACTTCAACCAGGAGGATGTTGATATGAAAGACTTGAATTAGTGAGAGGTTGAGTTGTTTGCCTTTTGTTTTAATGTGTGTAATCTTATCTCATAAAATGGGACAAATACACTTCTATTACCCAAAGAAGATTTTATTTATTAATTTATTTTAAAAGAAAGGTATTAATAATTGTATCAGGAAGCTTTCACCATTAGGTTTTCAATTGCAGAACTTCATAATAATCATTTAATTATTATGAATTATTTCCTTGTTTGGTCAAAACAACATATTTTAACCTTTTCCATTGCAAGCGTGTGGCACTCCTTAGAGATATGATTATAAATAATTCAATAAACATAAAACCCTTTCTATCTAGAGAAAGGTGATAAATGAGTAAAACTTGATCGAGTGTGCATATTAATATAAATGTTATGATATAAATTTACCTTGAAAGTTTAAATTCAAGAGCGTGGGGTATCTAGAAGTTTTTTTTGCCCCCTACTGTTAAAAAATTAATTTTGATCGTTAAAATAATGATATTAACCATTAATATTTCTAACGCTAGGAGGTAAAATTGCTATAATTTTAAATTTTCGAATAAATTTGCACCTCAACCATTGATATAATCATAATCAAGCATCAAAGAGAAGTACCTTTATCTCATGAAATACTATATTTGATATTTGATAGCAAACATAAAGGTCTTGATCTCCAAGTCCAATCAACTGAGAAGCAGATTACAAAACCTCAAACAGGGATTTAAGAATTTAAGCCACCTATTGTCGCTCACGATCTTGCGATCCTTCACTCTGTTACCCAAACAAAAAACAAAAAAATTGACCTCAAATACTATATCCATATAGGTAGCTATTCCAAGGATGGGTAAAATCACCATTATATCAGTTTCCTGACTGGCTCGGAAGTAAAGAACTGCAGCAAGACTCAATAATTGCCTCATTACTTTTCAGCAATCTTTCCTGAGTTGCGACCTCCAATCCTCCCGAATGAACCCATAGCTGACAAACCCTTGAAGCTGCTGCTTCCTTCACTGAAATTTGATATTCTTGATCTCCTGGGCTTTGCCGTGGGACTAGACTCAACTTCTGCATCACTGCTAGCCTGATCTTGATCTGAGCAACAATTAATTCATGGATAGCTCCTCGGCAAAAAGGGCATGCTGGTCCCGTAGAGCAAGCAGCTCCTGGATCGAGCTTCTTGTGACAGCATAATGCTAGGGTGCAATGAGCACACATTTGATGACCACATGGTCTGACCTCAATTGTGCATACTTGGTCAAAGCATATACAACATAATTCGAGACTGCTGCTGGCCTAAATGAGCAGAAATAAAATCAAATAGAGAAACTCATTATTTTTCACTAAAAAATAAAAAACACCCTTACTATCTTTTAGTTGAAGTTCTGGTCGTACTACAATAAAACACTAGACTAAGCACATGCATTTATACACCTAATTCAGTTAGAAGGATACTGCAAGCTGAGTGCATCCCCATCAAGCATGCATGAGGTAAGGAGAAATTTTCTGTCGTTACATAGGAAGCAATGATACCCACTGAAGTCTTTGACAAAGGTAGAAGCAAGAAGAATATGCAAAAGAAAACCAAGTGAGGCAAATTAAATCTGTTGGACTAATTACAAGCAATCGCAATATGAATGACCAAGAAGAACATATTTTACCACATATACTGAAGCACAATCTTCAACCAAATCAAGTAGATTAAATTGAAAGGTCTTAAGCGGTCAGAAAATAATGTTACACCTCAGAGTCAATATCATCATCTTCACCATCAGAATGCAAGGAGGATGAGGGAATGTCTCCCTCCTTCAGTAGGGTCTTTTCCCTCTCCCTGTTGCTTCCATCAAGGCCTTTTCCAGTAAGGCTTTTGCTTCCTCATTGAGCTCACTGATGAACTTCAATGGGGATGGCCAAACAAGTGGTGCTGCTGATGAAGGGTCCAGCAGGACAGCACATGCCTTATGCTTGTGCTTCAAGGCAACTGTGAACGGTATTCTCCTGCAGAGGTTCATTTGTAATAAGATTTTAAGCCAGCTATTAATTGATTTGCTTTTAGTGATTAAGGAATCCAGGAAGAGCAAGAATGGAGCCAAGGACAGGAAAGGATTGAACAAAGTAAGACCTTATTTGGTAAAATCCAATAAATGAGAAGATTTTTACTAGCTTCAAGTGCCATTTGCGATATACATTAATTAAAGTATGAGGAAGTCACACAATTACATGAATGGTACAATACGAATGTAACTGAAATATGCCTATTATTACTATAACATTGACCAATGAAATAAATCTTTACTTACCCAGAGGAATCTAGTTGAAGCCTATCAGCTCCCCAAGCAAGCAAGATTCGAACACAATCCAAAGAACCACTACGAGCAGCCAAATGAAGTGGTGTGCTCCCTGCATAACTGCAGATTATACTTTGATCAATCTCAATGAAATATCAATAATATTTATTCACGACAAACTGATATAACTTCAAAGAGAAATACCCATATCCACCAGGTGATGAACAAACAAGAGCCCCATTGTCTAAAAGAGCACGAAGACATTCAGGCTGTCTTTGACGGGCTGCAAGATGCAGTGGAGTGGCGCCATTTCTATCTCTTATGTTAACAAATCTTGCAAACCCCCTGATCAAAAAATAGAGCTACCCTTTATTACAATTAACAATTGTCTATGCCTAAAGTACCCTTAATTAACAATTTTTGAAACTCTAACAAGTTGATTACAATAAATCGAAGTTTTTAGGCAGATAACCAATGAATCTAGCCTTTGACTGATCTATGCCTCAGTCAATACTTATGTTAAGCACTGTACTGAGCATAATTCTGAAAATGGATTCAGCATAGGTGCATTTACGGCTAAATGCAGGATGGTCAAAGCATTTTACTTGGAAGACATCAAAAAGAACCTAACCATGAGTTTGCAATTGGTGAGGAACGGGCAGCAGAAAGAATAGCCTTAAGGCAATCTATGTGGCCATAATAAGCGGCATGGTGAAGGCAGGTTCGACCACGTAAAGAATCAAACATCAATATCTGAAACAATACAAGCCATCCGTAAATCCGTAAGAATCAACGCAACTACAATAAATCCATAAGATTCAAACTGAAAAACAATCGAGTATAACATACATTAGCTCCGGCTTGAATAAGCTTTTCCGCACAACTAGTGTTTCCATGCATCACGGCCAAAATCAACGGTGTCTATGCCCCAGAAAAAAAAAACGAATAAGCAATTGAAGACAAATAGAGGAAGAAGGAAGCAAGATATGAGCTAGAAAAGACAGTATTTCAGCTAGAAAGACAGTATTTTCAGTTCAATTGAAAGCATCAGAGATAAGAGATGCACCTGTTTATAGCGATTGAGGATGTCGACATTAACAGAACGGTCCAATAACATGGAAAGTACCTGGCCAAGATCAAAACACCCACCATGATGAAAACCAAAGAAGTAGCTGCAAAATATAAGTTGCGCAAATACAACCAAGTGTCGCATCGGACACATTTCAGACACAATTCAACTCCATTCACCAGGTACCGGGCTTCATGGACCAAACCCACAAAAAGCCACCAAATACAAAGAACGCCATTAAAATCTGAGAAAAATAGAAAAGATTAAGGGGTAAGAGCAAGAAACAACCTCGATCCGACCGCTGGCGGCAGCTGCATGGAGAGGGGAAAGCTTAGCATGACCGGAAGTCTCTTCAAGAACTGCAGGGTCTTCCTCTATCATAGCTTCAACTACCTCCAAGGCTCCGCCCGCAACAGCAGCAAACAGAGCATTTTCATGGTGTTGCCCGCAACTCAGCCCCTGACCCATAATCGATTACCTCTCCTTCCGTCGTCAGTAATCGCCAACACAGGAAGCAAGAGTTGCCGAGCTACAGGCACACGCGCCACCTTCCACGGCAGAGGTGGCGGTGGTCGTAGTAGTGGCGTCGGACGACCTTACAGTCCTTGAAGCCAAGGCGGGAGAGGAGCTTGAGCCAGTTATCTAAGCAAATGGAGGGACCTCGGAATTTGGACCTGCCCGCCGAGATTTCGGGCAGGCTGACCCAGCACGTATTGGAGCCAAGTTCAGATTATGTTCATACTTTCACGTGAATTATAAATTATAAATGTTTAAATTTCAATTCAATAATTAATATCGGGGCATATGGTAGATATTTTGCCGGAAAATAAGAATAATTTTATCAGAATCTTTGGTAAGCTTATTATATCTAACAGATTTATTTAATAATTTATCCACTGACCCTGATGTAAGGTCTCTTTTAGGCCAATTCAATGAATTTTCAAAGACAGCTATGCGTTCCTTTTGTTTTCCAACGCGTTTTTCGGAAAAAAAGAGAGATGTATTTAATACAGATAGCTCCCCCTGCGGTCTTCAATTATGGTAAAAACAAACATAGTTAAATTATTTGTCACCAAATAATAGTCAATTGTTTATGCCTCATGTTTATTGGACTAAATGTTGGTCAAATTATTATTGTTTGTGGTGCATAATCCGTTGAACACTGTGAGAAGATTTAGTTTTGAAAATTCTATAATTTAGTTTTTAAGATGTAAAAATACTCACAAACCATTATGCAAATATTACCTCGGGTCCTAAATATAAAAACTAGTTGACTAATTTGAGTCAATCAAAAAAATTAGCTAAGTTAGTTATTTGTAATAAATAAGTGTTGTCTTTTCTAAAATATTTTTGCTAATATAGTATATTGGTTAGAACTACTATTGTTATAATGATTATGTTAAAAAAATAAATAAATATGAGAAATAAAAGTATATTTAAGTTTTATATTTATGATCAAAATAAAAGTCAAATGAACTTTTATATTAAAGATCAGAGATAGTAATTGCGATCATCCTAAGTATGGTGTGATTTTATCCATCAACTATAAGCAATAATGCAAAAAATTCTTCAGCCTCTAACAGAGGCTATGTGTTGATTAGGTGGAGGTGTTTCGATTAGGTTTTTAGAAATAATTTTATTAAGTATAATATGAATATGTAAAAAAAAGTTTTATC